CTGTCTGTCTGCCTGCACTCCTGCTTGTTAGTATAGCACAACCTTATTTGTAACTTCTGTGAAACCACCACCAGTCACCTTATTATTTTTTTCTTGTGAAAATCAGAAAACAAAAATGTTGTATTGTGCTTTAAGAGGACAGAGAGTGAACGCTTGGTTTACTTTGGTATGCTCTGTCTCACCACTGACAGCCTCCTGTTGGGGTTGGCACAGACAGAAGCTGCGGCGGCTTCAGTCCTCCTCAATTTATTTTGATATTAAACATGGGACAGCCATTAAAAAATGACTCGGCTGCCAGGATTGGATTTTTGACGGGCGCTCACTTTACATTAAGTAATGATTGCTTCACATGTCATCCTTCATATATTGAATCCCAACTGAACTTTCTCCTTAGTTAAAGCTTGTTATTTTGCATCTCAGCTTAAGTGACAGCTTGCATGAAACCACACATTTACTTCAACATGTAAATGATTTGATGCATCTACTCAATCTGAAAGGAAATTATTCACAGGAATGATTATGGCACAGGAAAAACCGTGTCATTACTTTTCTCACAACTTGATTTTTAGGAGGAGTTTGTTTTTTGTTTCTAGATGAACAAACATGATTGGACAAGAGAGATTCCATGAGTGCTGATATAGAGGACAACATCACCGGGACCGTTTGTTCACCTTATCTGTGTTCGCTCTGAGTTGATTGACCCATCAGACAGTTTTTTGTCTTGAATGATGAACTTCTGAATCACACAACAAACTGATTTCATTGGTTGTATGCGAGGCCGCCCATAAAGGGGTAAAACAGGGAGGAGCTTTCTGGGACTTAGCTGCATGAGGGTCCTATGATGGTTAGCAAAAACCGTAATCCATCCTAAATTCAAGTGTGATAAAACAATTCTGTTTTTACACCGAAGACAAAAAATAAACATTTGGTTTCTAGTTGCATATTTCAAAATGTAACAACATTGGCAGACCCCTTGAACCAGTAATGTCAGACTTTGTATACTCACACTAGGACCTGCACAAAAATAAGGATGTCAGCCCCAAAAGTTGATTCAATCCAGGTTGAGGATTTGAATGTTAGCAAGGAGGCTAGTGCTAACGCTACCGATCCAATACACACGTATATGATTAACTAGCATCTGTAGAGGGTCTTTCAGGGGCCCAGCCATTTCTTTGGGCGGTCCTGGTTGTGTGATTCATGTAGCATGATGATGCACAGATCAGGAGAGGGTTTTACAAAAACTTAAAGGCTTGTGATTTTTCACACTTAAATGTAGAAATCAAGTATCTCCTCTGAAAATAACTCTGTGAGTCATGACTGTCTACAATGGGTGTAACACCCGAGTCCCACTGTCTGTGATGTTTTCAGAGTTTTCAGAGTCCTATCTTCACTTTGTTTACATCGCCGGGACGGCCGGCTGACTCCTCCCCTCGTGTATAAAAGTTGTTTAATTGAGGGACTAGAGAAAAGAAGAATAACATACTGTACTCACTGCTTAACTGTGTTTCTAGATCACGCTCATTTCAGGTAAATTTACATGCAGTGTGAAGATACCAGCATAATAAAGATCGCTAGCATTAGCATGCTAACACAACAATGCAGCGTGAGTTGTTTTGGTTTCATGCTGGTGCTCAAGGGCGACATCTGCTGGATCAAAAAATAAAGCATATAAAGCCTTTAACCTAAAAGATGAATGTTTTTGATGGATTGACAGCACTAATTTTAAGACTGAGGGGTCTGACTCAGACAACCCAAACGTGGGCTACTGATGCGTCATTTCTTGTTTGTGGATGCTGACAGATGTCAATCAAAATCTGATCTGACACGCCTACACAGTCTGGAGAAACGGTCGAAATAGCAAAAAGGGTGTTTGTTAGTGTTAAACATGGATATCATGTTTGCATTTTTACTATTTAAAGACAGATTTCCAGAGGATTTAATGAATCTGTGTTTACACTGTGCTATACGTGTTGAAGACAAAGTGTTTTTTTACTTTTTCCCATTAGCACAGATCCTGTTTCATACCATGCTATAACAGGGATTATATACACTCACACTGTCACAGGGTTTGGCCCATCAGCCCAGCGGGAAACATACACCTGATAAACACAAGTGTTTGTCGACAGCATGAAGCAAAGATAGCTAATAGAGAATAAGTCACACACACAAGAGAAATGCTCTCATTGGCTCCAAGTCCCACTGTGTCAAAATATTACAGTGACAAACACTTTTTCAAGTATTAGCAGAATTTGAACAGTTGCTCCGTTTTTTTTTTTTTTTTTTTCTCCTGGCATCTGCTAACAGTTTCTAAACGCAGCTCTTTGCTTTAGCTGCCTGGCAGGAAGCAGACAGTTTAGCAGCGAGAACTCGTTTGTCACACGCCCTGTCATCTACAGCGTATACCCCAGGAGGGCGTGGAGAAATTGGATTTGGGTCGAGGAATGTGACGGAGGCATCCCGGGGGGAAAGGATGTGACATTGGCTCTGTGAGGCCATGAGGAGGTGGTGGTGGTGTTGGTGGTGGTGGTGGTGGTTGTGTGTGTACATTTAGTACCCTGTCGCCCCCCCCCCACCCCTCGCTCTCCATCTCCCCCTCCGTCCGTCCGCCTCGGCTTCTATTTGTCTCGGCGCTGCAGCCGCGGTAATGGCTTTCTTATTGGGTTATGGTTTAGTTACACTACCGGAAATGCTGTTACAACCTCCTGCCGGCGTTGAACAATCTCCCCCTGCATTTCTCCAGACGACCGCCTAATGCTCTGAGTAAATGCAGTCACCCTGAGCCGAAGCTCAATATTCAAGGTCCGCAGACTATAATGTTTCTGTCGCTGTTTATTTTTTCTCCCGTTAGTCAATATCAATTTGTCCTTTTTGTAGTTTGTCAGTGTTATATCGCAGGTGTGGAAATTGTGGATACAAGGCTGACATTTGTTCTCCAGGAAAACCTGTTAGTTTGATGGTTAGTTTTTGATGGAGTTTCCTTCAAACCTTCTGTTTCTCAGGATGCATTGTTGTATTTTCTCTTCACTACTATCCTTGCATGGACTGTGCTTTCACTGATGGAGGCCTCCGTCACCTACATATAAATTGGCACTGAGAAGACAGGACTCAGACTTAGGGGGGGGGGGGCGGGGTTTGGGTGGCTGTCAGCTGTAGAGCACGCTGTAATAAGATGCCAGGCTTGTGGCAAGTCTTCACACACTGCTCATGGATGACATATCTGTGAACAAGTTGTTTTAGGAGTCACTCCCACAGTGTGTTTACAATTGACTCATTGATTTTTGGGGTTGTTTTTTTTTGCTCGATTGTTAGACTCATCATGAGTCAGAAAGACTTGGTGTGTCAGTGAGATGCAGTAGACTTCTCCAACAAACCTGCAAAGCACATCTTTGAGGAATGTCTTTGAGCTGTCTCTGTTTTTTGTCTAGTTTATGATTTAAAGGTGGAGTCAGTAGCAAGAGTTCTACAAAAGTAATGCAGCCCACTTATGGTCCTCTGAACATGTGTGGTGACTGACTGTCTGCAGAGAGACGCTGTCCTCTGCATGATTTTCATGTTTTGTTAAACTCTGACTCTAGTGTAAAAATATTACATACTACACCTTTAATAGATCCTCTTTGTCAACCCTACAATGTTAGTACTGTTGTTACTATTGTGCATATTTTGATTTATTTAATGAATATTTTAACAGGCAGATTTGTGAGGTATTTACTGTTCTTACATGAACAGAATGAGGACACACAGCGGAGGAACGTGTGTTCATTATTAGTATTTATTGTGAACTAAATGTGGGGACGAATACAGCCAAAAGGTCAACTCTCCTTACCGAGCATTTTCTGCCATTTATTCGTCTGAAATGACAGAAAAAATTGAGAAATGGCAATGAGCAAGAAATGCATGATGTCAGATGATTCGTTTAAAACTGTAACATACCGTTGACCGCACTAACCGAGACCAAGACATTCCCCGAGATCAGATTAGTCAGAAACCAAGACAAGACCAAGACATTTAGGGATCAAGGCCGAGTCAAGATCAAGACCAAGGCAGGGCGAGACCGAGTACTACAAGAGAATAAAAAGAGGAAGTGAATCGTCCTTAAAACCATCTTCAAACATCAGCTGTGAAGAGGAGAATTCTTCATACGGGTCATTATTCAACGTTTGTTCTGTGACATTTTGAGTGATAAAAGAAAAGTTCCCCTTTTGTTGGATTTAGCCGGAGGTGATCTAAATCTCCTGCAAAGAGGGTCAGAGCTCAAAGTCAGCTTAGAGAGGACGCTCAGGACAGTTTGGAAGTGTCTTATTAAAGGTTTGAGACACCTCAGGTTTGTTTAATGCCAAATGATCTTCTTGCTAACCTTAACAAATGTGTTCCAACCTGTTTGATGAAGGAGTTCAGTGCAGGATTGATTTTTCAGCTAAGAGAACAAATATCGGCTTCTGAGATGATGTTGCATTTGAGTGACCATTTCAAAATGAATACTTTTCAGACAGAGTGGTTTCTGATTTTGACTCAGACGACACAAACACACTCGTTCAGGGCGACACTCTGCTGATTGTCACTTGTGCTGTTGTTGTGTGCAGAGATGTGAGATGTCAATCAATCACCCGTGTGGGCATGGCAGAAATTGTCTGACGAGCTGTTTCTGTAACTGTGTGTTCTGAGAGTGTATTTCCAACACAGATTCTTTTTTTGGAGCATTTTCTTCTATGAATGGAGCGGATGATGAGCCAGACAGCAAGGCTCGCTCAGTGCATTCATCATACAGTCTCAGTTTATGTCTGCTGATTTCCAAATACACTTTTAATATCTGTCCTCTCATGCATCTCCTTTAACAAGATTGAAGTCACAACAATAAATTCTTCTCACTAATAGAAGATCTTTAAAAAGCGGAGCTGTGCAGCCCCCGTCAGCCACGGCTCTCCCATAAATCTGCTCCAATCTATTTTCCCTCGATTGCTCATCTTGGTTTTTTTTTCTCGTGCTCATTCTCTCTCTTGCAGAGGCGACCATCCTCAGCTACGACGGCAGCAAGTTCATGAAGGTGCAGCTGCCCGTGGTGATGCACACGGAGGCCGAGGACGTGTCCCTGCGCTTCCGCTCCCAGCGAGCCTACGGCATCCTGATCGCCACCACGTCCCGGGACTCTGCCGACACCCTGCGTCTCGAGCTGGAGAGCGGCCGCGTCCGCCTCACTGTCAACTTAGGTAACGCCTCGGACATACCAAGACTGCAGCGGCAAAGATTGCACACACACACACACACACACACACACACACACACACACACACACACAGACAGCATATTTTGAATAGAAGGAGTAAAAGACTTTCAATGAAAAGAGTCTGCGGCTCTGCGCTCACTGCCAGTTGAGCACACAGCTGCTGTTGCCCAGCAGGGAATGCTCGCTGCACATTTCTCAACATCTGTACAACGTGTGTATTTCTCCAAACAACATGGCCCCTCACATGGCACGTGCTGCTGCACTCTCTCCTTGTGCACCTTTAGTTGAAATATATCCGCTTAGAATTCATATGAGGACGCTAATAATGCCCCTATTTGTGATTATCACAAGTCCTCTCAGCTCGTGGTCGACCACAGTGATATGATTCAGACATGCACACACATTTTCTTAATCATTTGCTCTCCCGTGCGGCTGAATCATTGCAGGATGAATTCAGGAATTGCAACATAAATCTGCAACTGTTTCTCACATTTGAGTGGAAATGACATTTTCCTCCACCTGCGCCCACAGCGGGAAAAAAAAGAAAATTGAGGAACAAAATGAAAGACGCCGTGTATTTGTGTATGTGTGCGTATTTGCTCTGGAGAAAAAAAAAAGATCCAATGATGCCTTTGGAAAAAAAAAGTTTGATATCTCGCAGACAGAGCAATATCGCACAAATGATAGCCATCTATTTCTTCCTTTCCACTGGCTAAACAGAAATGGGCTCCCTAAGCGGAGTCGTTTAGCGATGCATACAAAGTAGACGGTCTGTTCCAAAACACGAGGATGCATCCGTCCCCACCAGAAGACGGCAGCAGCGACACACACACACACACACACACACACACACACACACACACCGACAGGCCCAGACGAGTCCGATCATTATGACCACATAAAGAAAAGCCCCCTTTTGATGACTCTGAAAGGTCACCCTGTTTAGTCTCCTTCTGGATCATCTTTGAACACACATCGAAGAGATTTAAAAAACCTCTCTCTCTCTCTCTCTCCGTCCCTCCTTCCTGAAGCAGAGCATTCCCTGTGAGGCTTTTAGGCTGGTGTTGGTCTCTGGCTGTTTGCGACCACTTTTTCTGCTGCGGTTGACGACACACGACAGGCAGGGCTGAGGGGGGGGGGGGGTTAAATCGGGGTCGCTGTTCAAAGAGCATGACGTTAGCTCAGCTTTAGGGAACAGAGAGGTAGAGAGGAGACAGACGTAGTGGCAGAATGTGTGACTTTGCTATCAGCTAGAAGATTTGTGATTTTATTGACAACCAAAGCTTTAACTAGAATCAGAATCAGAAATACTTTATTAATCCCAGGGGGAAGTTTGTTTGCTACAGTTGCTTATAACACCAAAAATCAGGAGGAAGTACAGATAAGTTCACAATATAAAATAAAATAAAAATAGCAATAACAACATAATAAGCATAAGTACCAAGAGAAAGCAATAATAAAGTATTAAAAAGTAATAATCTATGTTCAAGTACACGTAATTGAGAATATAAACAATCTTTACAAACTTGAATATACACTGATGGATTAACAGCGTAGGTTCATGTGTTGATTGCACGTTTGATGTATAAATATTGTCCAGTTTTCAACAGATTGCACAGTTGGTACAAAACGAGTAGAAATCAAACATTGATACCAGTTTCTATTTCACTAAACATAGATGTCCTAGTCATGCGATATTTGGGAATTTCTTGTTTTTAATCAAGAAAACTCTCAGGAGAACTTAAAGAAATGACTGGCAGCCAGATGGCGCTCTCGTTCTTCCTCCTGAAAGCAGCTTCAGGTTCAAAAATAATCTTCAATTCCAAAAAGTCTATCAATCATTTCAATATACTTTTAGAATTTAGATATTGAACTTGAATATGGAGTTGCAATGCTAAAACTTCAAACACTTCAATGCGAGGTCCTTTAGATCAGACTGAGAGTTTTTCTCAGACAGACCAGGATGTACTTAGTTTGTTAGCTTGATGCTAAAACATAATGGAGATTTTGATGAATAGGCTAACAGATTTAGCATCAACATCGTGGTACTCTTAACCTCACACAATTGTTAGATCATAGACTGGTTACATTCAATGAACAGATCGATTATTTCTTACGTTAGAAGATGCTAAGTTAGTTTATTAGCATCCGTTGTGTCACCTGAAGCTGCAGCTGACAGGTGATCAGATTTTATAATGACCAAAGGATTCAATTCATTTAAACACAATCTGATAAATAACCAATACCTGCAGCGTTTAGATCAATATAGGAGAGTAAAGGTACAAGCTTTATCCTGAGCATGAAGTAAAATATCACTTAAAGTAAACAGTAGTCGTTATGCTAACATGCTAACAGCAGGAGTAAGTGTTGTAACATGATGATTCTACTTTAAAGTTGGGATCATAACTTGACCCAGTGGATTTCGATAACTTACAAAGATGCAGAATAAAGATGTCAGAAAGGTCAGTGTTGAGTAGAGGGAAGGTGAGATAGTTAGAGGGGGGGGGGGAACACAAGGAGAGAACTGGAACAGCTTCCAACGTGCCCTGTCTGACCCTGCCCGAAATCTGATGCTCTCATTCTGTAAAGACAAAGATCGTACGCTACAGTTCAACAGAAAAAAAAAAAAAAACGTGTTTAGCTCCATGAAAAATAAAAAAATAAACTGTTATATAACCAAACCTCAGCCCTCGTTATTTTCTCTTCTACATGGCTGCAAAGTGTCTTTCAGTAAACCATGCTCCGCTCCTCTGGCACAGCTATACACTGCGGTGCTTTTTTTACCAGCTCGCTGCAGCTCGAGGCGGAGGGGTTGAGAGCATCAGAGGACGGACAGTGTCCGTGTGTGTGTCCCCAGAGGGGTGGACTGTATGCTTTAATGATGTCTGCAGCTGTAACGTTGAAAGATGAATTTATCTCTCATCTATTCTTCCCCATCTAGATTGTGTCAGGATTAACTGTACCTCCAGTAAGTTACTGTTCACCTTTCTTCTTCTTCTTCTTCCTCCTCCTCTTTTTCCTTATTCTCTGTTTCTGGACATTCATGTTTTGTAGCATCTAGAACTGTTAGCATAATGTTACCAATGTTTAGGATTTATTCTCTGCAGCTCTGATATGAGAACTTCTTAAGCTAATTGGAATTTGTCCTTGCACTGACTCGCACCTTACATTAAAAAAAAAAAAAAAAACTCCTAAAGCTTGGGGCACATTAGACCTGCATGATGTTGTTGTGTGTGCATCAGCTGTCTGCGAGGATAATGAGCAGCAGGGAGGAGACGGAGGGAGGCTTGAATTAATGACGGGCCCCAAACATGGCAGTCAGCTGTGATTTTAACACACTGAGCTGTTCCTAATTAACGAACCGTTTCACTTGTGAACTCAGGCTGATATAAAACGCATGCTTTGGAAGTGCAGGTATTTTAGACATGCATGATTTCCCCGACTCCCCCCCTCCCCTCACGTCACCTTTCTTCCTTTTTTTTTGTTGTTGTTTCCTTTTCTTCTTCAGTATCTCACGCCGGTTGTAAATTGATGAGGCCATTCAAGGCGCAGAGGAAATACAGAGTGTGATTTTATTATTCTCATTAACCTGCCTCGCGGAGCAGAAAGAAAAGGGATAAAGAGGGAGGGGAGGGAGAATAGATCTAGAGCTGTGGGATTCACACTGGATATGTGAGGTAATGTGTGTGTGTGTGTGTTTGCTTCAACAAAGAGGTTACATTGCAATATTTTGGGAGGTAAATATCCCTGACATTTATTATTCAGGAGCCGTGATGAATTAATAATTACTTCTCAGGAGTCGTAATACGTGAGCTCTCTTCCTGTTTAATGATTCTGAGGTGACACGCTCGCTCTCTATCAGTAAACACCAACAAGAAACGAGACGCTTTTTAAGCTCCGTAATAGAGTGCCAGTGTCGCACGCTGTAAAGAAGGACAAACCGGCTCTCTCTGCCTCTGAAAACATGCGTGTTGGATATTTGGTTTGTGTGTGTGTGTGTGTGTGTGTGAAGTGTTGAAGTATTTGAAGGTCATCGCCTGTCGAGGAAGCTGGAGAGACGTACACAACATAACGCCTTTTTTGCACACTGCCACACGATGTGACCTCCAGACATGTCTGTGTGAGCCAGCCCTTCTTAACACCTTTCTAAATGCTAAATAGCATTTTTTTTTTCATGCATCTTGGCTTGCTTCCCCCTTGTTTGTGTATGCAAATAAAAAAAAGCTCTGAGCTCTAATTCCCCCTTCTGATGCTTCAGAAAGGTCACTCGTGGTTTATGAGCGTATAGTGTGAAAGCGTCATGTGGGAAACAGTGTTTGCCACACATTTGGCTGATTCATTTATATTTATTTTTAGGGTTTTTTATATTTGAATACTAATATTGACTTGCTCGTATGCATCATGAATCTGATCTTGGATGTGCTTGGCATGTGGCGAGTGTGTGTGCACAAAACTAAATTTGTGGAGCCAGAGGATAGCTTAGCGGTTATGTCGCGGGCCCATGTAGAGGCTAACGTCTTTGGAGCGGTCGGCCCTGATTTGAGTCCGACCCTCTGCACTTTAACGCACTTTATTCAACACTCTCTCATCCGTGTTTCCAACTCTATCCACTGTCCTCTATATCAGGGGTTCCCACATTTTTCATCCCGCGACCCCCAAAATAACGAGCAGCACGCACTAATGGGCCTATCCAAACACTGACATTAGATCAACAATATAAAATACAGCAGCCTTAAACTAATTGAACAACATTTTTTTTATGTAATTTCACAATAATAGGTAAAATATGTAATTTCAAGTCATTTCCAGTTTGCATTTGTTTTTGGAAGGCAACTCGCGACCCCCCTCCCAGTGTCTCGCGACCACCAGGAGCAGGGTTTATGACCTATACTGCAGCCAACCAGCAGAGGGAGCTCTAAATCTTCTGGCTTCACTTCTCAGGAGCTCTTGTGCTGTTAACTTTCACAAAGTGTGCAGTTGAAATGTTGGATTATTTTACTTAAACTCTAAGCACTGGTGTGTCTTTGCACTAAAGTCATCTTATTCTTGCTCTCCCGATGACAGATGAGAAATCTGTTTGAGCTCATTTTCTAATAATAGCGAGAGAGAGAAATGTCTTAATTGACACTCATGCCATGGCATCAAATATACAGAATGAACCAATGCTTTATAGATACAAAGTCTGTGGATGTTTTCCTCTGACAGATACGATGCAATCCAAAGAGAAAACATGTTTATTCCATCAGCATTCATTACGCTAAAGGAGAATCTAATGTTAAAGTCAAATAGAAAAAAAAAAACAGCATCTTTCTTCAATAGATCCAGACTTAATTGTGTCACGAGGAAATGTTTAATTGAAGTTCTTGAAGAGTCCTGTGTTAAGCCGGCGCATAAAGAGATAGTGTTTAATTTATTCTCCACGAGGATGTTATTTTGCTCCGTGTTATTTTTGTCCCCCCTTCTTTTCTTTTCTTCTTTCCTCGTCTTAATTAATGTGTCTTGTCAGGCGCTGCGGCTCTGGTCAGCGTGGTGGATGAAGAATTTCAGCACCGACTCAAAGAACACATCACTGTCAATTAGGGACCTCGGCTCCCTGGGGCTGCCCGGAGCTGTCGGAGGAAAACACTGCCACTTCCACTTAAACACTGTTAACAGGCTCTGAGTGACAACAGACTAAAAATATGAACTAAAAATATCTTCTGACAGATTGGCTGCTTTTTTTTTTTTTTTTCTTCTATTTTGTCTGCCATTCTTTAGTCTTCTATGATTCATTAAGTTGAACTGCAGGATAATCACATTTTTACAGTGGAGCTAAGATGCTGTGATGAGGGCAACTTTATGAGATTAATCTCGCCTTTGACCTTCTTGGGCAACATCCCGAGGTAGTTTCTTTCCCTCATAATTGATCTTTCGCCACGCGTCCATCTTTAATTTCTGACTTGTTTAGTGTGAAAGAGCTGCGGGGGAATTCTTTTACATGGATTTAACACCTGTGTGCATCATGGAAGTGGAGGATAGAGAGGAAAAAGTACATACATGCTGCCATGCTTATCAGGCAGACACTTAGATTTTGCTGAGCACTAAATATGACTAAAAAACATCATTATGGATTGAAATAGCTTTTTATGACATCACACATGTTGCACAGTTTTTTTTAGACTTCCACTGTAAATGAGAAGCGGAGGACCTCAAGCCTGCATTCTTGCTAATGGCCAGCAGGGGGCAAATTTGCAGGTTTTCAAACACAAGTCTATTTATATGTAATCTTGCATCACATTTACCTAAATCACCAAATCGATTTTAACAGTCTTACATACAGACCAAGACTATAAGCATCAATGAAAAATCATCATCTTGTGTGCAGGGGGCGTGTCAATCAATTAGACCTTAACACCGGGAAGGTTGCAGCCGTAACCGGGGGGGATAAAAATGAAATTATGAAAAAAATTAAATTATTCCTTCTTTTAGAAAGGTGCCTTTTCCTTCTATTTCCAGTGATGACGTGGGGAAAATAGCCGTTCAGTGCTGGTCTTGTCTTGATTTAAAATCTGGAGTCCGCCCAGTCTGAGACCGAGACCAGACCGAGTAAAAAAGTTTTTCGATTCTGAGTCGAGGCCCTCAAAAAGACCGATTTCAAGTACTACAACACTTCTGTGAGGTTGTCTTTATCTTTAAGCACTGAATTAGATTCTTAAAGACCAACACGTCCTCTCAGTGCTCCTTGTAACAAAAATGTACTTCTTGGAATCAAAGCTGGGAAAAATAAACGTTGGCATCCTCCAAAGCACGCAGCACACTGAGGGAGTCTCGTGTCAAGGCAGCAGGTAGTTAACACGACATGATGATGCAGTTGTTGCTAAAAATATTCTACTCTCTGGAAAGAAACGGTTGAATCGGCATGTGTTCAAAACAAACCTGTCAGCATGTTCAGCGTCCCGCTCGGCCTCGTTTTATAGATGGAAATGCAAACAGCAGCAGCAGATTAGAATCGATTGTCACGCTTATTCTTTAAGCACTATTTAACATCAAACATTTTTGTTCTAATGACTTTTCAGTTAGCAGGTCATTGATTGGACAAGCCAGTTTCATAGCATTGTATCCGGCCGAGCTTTATTTGCCATGTGTGCTGGTTTTGATGTGTGTTAATTATCGACTGTATAAAACAAGGATGTCACCCGTCGGTTACTGAAGGGGAGTTTTGAAGCCAAACGTTGCCGGTTGCCATCTCGGTAATGATGTCTCGACCTAACTTTTTTGGTCAAAGAGGTGGGAGCTCAGACAGACCTCGGGCCTACCTGACGAACAGCTACAATGCAACCTGCTTACGGTCACAGCGGCCACGCCCCCAATTGTGCAGAACGCTTATCCTTTAAAAATCAAAACAGATTACATAATCAGGATGAAACAATACATTTTGATCTATATTAAAAAGGAAATAATCTTAAGAAAAGGTAAAGGGGATTTGAAGTGTCTAAAGATGTAAATTCTGGTTGGTGTTTTTTGTTTTGGATTTTGAACATTTAAAAAAAACAGAAAATCAAAAAAGACCAAGTACTTTGAGTTTTCTGTTACACTGATTTACACAAGTTTTAGTTTTGAAGATAAGTGTCCTTATCTTCAGTGCGTGCATGACATGAACTAATCAGGCCAAAATCTTAAATTTGATGCAATGTGGGAGTTTATGTGACTTCCTGTGCAGCCAGCCTCCAGCGCACACCCCATGAACGGCCCCTTTTGCACTTCCGTATAATGCAGCAGTATAGCGGCCCGCTGTTTGGATCAGCTTGTCCCTCTTCCCTCCACATGCTTGATATCCAGCATCAGGGGGACGGTCCTGTCATCCAGCCAAGCCAGAGCTGATTGACTGGATAATCACATCTTCTTCTTCTTCTTCTTCTCATGCTGCCCTGTGCCACACTTCTCCACTTGGTTCCCCTTGGGCCTTGTAGTCAATGAGGCAGGGAGGGATCACTGTAGATCCATCACTGCAGATAGATCGCCATCAGTGAGGACACTTACAGAGGGCTGCATGTGGCAGAGAGAGAGAGAGAGAGGACTAAACGCCCTTCATGTCTGTCCAGCGGTCTGCTGTTTGGACCACAGGCTGCACCACAGGCATGAATTCAGTCTCTTCTGTAGCTGACTGTCCTGCAGAAATGTGCATCTTAAAAACGATTGACCTCTCTCGCCCCCCTTTCCCTTTCTTTCCCTCCTTGGAGAGCAACGAGGACAGCACGATGGGAGGCAAAGATCAAGCCTGGCTTTCAAGTCCAACTCCATCCCATTATTTCATATCTCTCCGCCCTTAATCCCTCGCCCAGTCGCCTGGTGTTTAGTGCTTACAAAGCAGGAATGTGCCTCTGAGATTGAGTGTGCCCCAGTACTTTGGCACCCTCAGATTTGCATACACATTGTATCAAAGCTTTGAAGATTGCTTGAAAAGGATGGAATAAATAGCCGTAAATGGGTACAGTGCAATGAACCTGGCAACTCGTCTGAAATGCTCCACACAGTGGGCAAGGTATCCGCCGCCTGGGGATTTTTTAGTCACAGCGGCAAACGTCCTCATTGGTCTGCTTGGTTATGTGTGCCCAGCAGGGGGAAACATGCTCTCTGACAGGGGGCTGTATGAAAAAAAAATGATATGCTGCCCCAATTGGACCGACCGTTGGAATTTCTAAATGCAGTGAGGAGGGTATATCTGGGAGAGATTATCTTTTCTCTCATGCTCTCCAGATCACAGAGATTCAAGTGCAGTCGCTTTTGATTTATCTGTGATTCGAAATTTGATTATCTCGTCTTGAGGTTCTTGGCGCCGTGACTCTGTGTGACATCTCCATTTAATGCCTGCGAGCTGTGACATACTTTGTGCAGTATTAAAAAAAGCTGGTTTCAGGATTCAGCGGAGGAATGGTTTCTGAGAAATGTTAACCCAGTCGAATGATCGTTTTGTTATTATTTATCAGTGAAATGCGAGACCTATTGTAGAATGTGCAGTTTCATGTATAGTGTTGCTGAACTACCTGCATCCTGCAGCTTTTTTCCAAAAACACCCGAGTATTTTCAAAGAAAAAAAAAAATCACATTCTGTATTTCCTAGATTTCCAGCAACGATGGCCCGACTCTTTTACTTTCAGGGTTCTTTTCACCACGAAGCACACAGCCCCCCCTTCCCCCCCACTCATATATTCCTTTTCAATATCACTTTTTCATTTCCTGTGGTGAGCAAGAGAAAAAAAGCTAATACTGGCTTGCACCGTCGAAGGTAAACAAGATGGAGAGTGATGCTCAGTTGTTAAGTGCCCTGCACAGTTTGCTGCAGCCTTTTGGTGGTTATTTGCTGCCCCCCAGTGGTGTGATGGGGAAGGACGAGATCTCACAAGAAATGAAAGAGAGAGCAGTCATAAAAAAAATGTCTGATTATCTTTGGATTTCTTTTGACATTAAACATTTAGAGCAAACAGTTAGTGTTCATATTTCTGTTTATAATGATGTGACACCCTGATTCCCGCCTCCCTCCTCTGTGTTTGAGGAAAAATGATGTTCAGTGAGAATCCAGAAATTGATGCCCTATCTAATGGTGCGATCAGTGCAGCAAATGCAAGTCAGAGCGATGTGTTTTTACGGGCCATTAACTATGTCTACCTTAATGTTTTCTTGCTTCTTGTCAAGCTTGTTGTACTCTGTCTTTCTTTAGATCCCTCCCCCCCCCCATCTCTCTCTCTCTCTACCTCTCACTCTGTCTATGATGTGTTCAGTATGTGGAGTTTGTTTTGCATGCACGTTTTTGTTAACCGCTGTCTGGACTGTCCTGCAGGTAAAGGTCCAGAGACTATTTTTGCGGGTCAGAATCTGAACGATAATGAGTGGCACACAGTGCGTGTGTTCAGGAGGGGCAAGAGTTTGAAACTGACCGTAGACGATCTGCTGCCTGTGGAAGGTAACGCCCATCCTCTCTTTTTCCCTGACAGAAACTTGTTTTTCCACTTTGAGCTTAAATTATACATGACACTTTTTCAGACTCTCCGACTCTAGGTAAGGCGGAAGCACATTAGCGGAATAAAGCGCGGCTCTAAGTGTTTTATTCTGCACTACTTTGTGCTGCTCTCATGTCCTTTATGACAACATGTTACTGATGTTGCTGTTTTGATAACTTCTTGTAACTCTCAGTGACCTAAAAAAATATATAACTAATTACAGATCACATTTTAAAAATGATTCTTACACTATTCCTTTCCACTACTTCAATGTATTATAAATCCTGTTTCTGGATTTGATATAATATCTCTTTAATTCCATACGTTGTTACTTTAGTTATCCAGAGCAGTGATTCCCACAGTGTGGGCTGCAGCCCCCTAGTGGTCCATGCAGGTAGCGCAGGTGGGCCTCTCGAGCTCATTTAAAACAATAAACAAATATTATCTGTAGATTAAACTGCAGAAGCCCCTAAGCATACATGCATCAACACATTTTACTCTGTTGTTTTATAAAAATAAGTACATTTGGTTGTTTTCTTGACATTTCAATGTATTTTTTGTCATTATCTAAGGATAACTCAGTTGTTTTTTTCCTGTGATAACTATGTTTCATTCAGCCATGTTTTTTAGATTTTGAGAAATTAACCTGTTGTCATGGAAACATCTGTGTTGTTATCCCGAACAAAAAGACCAAATAAATAAGTGAAGAACTCAGGAAAAAAAAATGTACTCGTTATCACGGGGAAATGTATCAAATTAAAATGTGTGGATGTTTGTGGACGTAGGACTTCCATATTTCACATTTTATATCGTACCCATTTTCAATGCTGCACAACTGTAACATGTATGAGGATGTATTATTTTAATGCTTTTTATTGCCTTAAGCCTCATTTGATGTCATCTTTAGTTTTTTTATGAAACAAGGATATAGAGAGAAGTAGATAGTCTTGGTTGAAACATATTTCAGTTTAAACTGTCCTGCAGCTTTCTTTTGATCGGGAATGTGTGATGTAGAAGATTTGAAGGTGACCCTTTAATAACAGACTCCCCCCCCCCTCTGCTGACTGAAGGTCAAATGGCCGGTGACCACACCCAGCTGGAGTTCCACAACATAGAGACGGGCATTGTGACGGAGAAGCGCTTCATGACCTTGGTGCCGTCCAATTTCATCGGCCACCTGCAGAGCCTCGCCTTCAACGGCATGGCCTACATAGACCTGTGTAAAAACGGCGACATCGACTACTGCGAGCTCAACGCCATGATCGGCTTCAAGAACATCATCGCCGACCCCGTCACGTTCAAGTCGCGCTCCAGCTACGTGACCCTCACCACGCTGCAGGCGTACTACTCCATGCACCTTTTCTTCCAGTTCAAAACCACGTCGTCCGACGGCCTCATCCTGTTCAACAGCGGCGACGGAAACGACTTCATCGTGGTGGAGCTGGTCAAAGGGTGAGAAGCCTCAGATCTCCCGCTCACACACTGAACATTTAACCACATCTGCTACATCTTCAGGTGCATTAAGGGAATCAGCAATCTCAGAGATATCAAAAGTACACACATTATACACAAAGAGAGAAGCAGCGGCGCCTGCTCCAAATGTCTCCTGTAGTCAGCTGAGGGGGTTTCTGATGCACTAGGAGCAGGGTCAACATACCCAGGGTATCTTTCAGTGTTCTGGTTTCACTAACCCTGACTCAGGAGGTCAGATTTTTTTTGGGGCCGTCCGAGTCTGTAGGGACTTGGGTTGGGAACCACAGGGTCACCGACTCAAGTCCCAATGCAGACATGTTCTGGTAGCTGGAGAGGTGCAAGGGTACTTCCCGGGTATTGCTGAGGTGCCCTTGAGCAACACATCAAACCCCCAACTGCTCTGGTGTGCTCCCTGTGTAGCACCCCCACTCTGACATCTCTCCACTAATGCATGTCCACAGGTCCAGTTTGTGAATGTGTGTGATTCACCCTATAGTGTGTGAGAAGCTTGTCTCTCAATAACAGAGCGTAAAACAGAATATCCCTCAAGGATTAATAACATCTCTGCTGAGGATGATTATTATAAAGCATTAATAATATATATTCCGTTCATATATATTAGATGTAAAATATCATATTGCAAAGTGTTGGTCGGCCTCTCTTTCTCTTTACGTCTCCCAATCAGCTCACAGACCTCTGGGATCAAGAGATCTGATTGGTCGGTCGGAGATGTTTCATCCAGGTTGATTTATTATCCCGAACATAACCTGCACCGGAGCTGGTTAGGCGCAAAGCACATGTTACCACAGTGATCTACCCGGTGATGAAGTAATAAGCAAAGAAGTTTCCTTCATAACTGTAGACCCCACTTTGCATTACAGACCCCGACTGCACCTTGAAAAGTGAAAAGAGTGATGCGGAAGTAGAGGACTAAGCAACAGAGTCCACTATAGGTTTCACTGATCGCAGAGAATTATCGTCACCACCCTCTCTCACTCGCTCGAGGGGAATTCTCCAGATTTTATCCTGCTGCGTTCTCACATCAGCTCACTCTGACTTTTTGTGGGGAACATCAGAATCAGAAATACTTTATTAATCCCAGAGGGGAATTCGATCGTTACAGTTGCTCCTAAATATACAATATAACAGTAGAAATATAGATTTAAAATATTAATCAAATAGAATAGGAATGTAATAATAGCTACAAGACATATTCACACAAATAAGAGTCAGATGGAATATATACAGACATTTTCAAGATTATTGCACGGTTTGTTTCAATATTGCATTTTGTTATCATAAACATACCAGGAGGGGGCAGGCAGGAGAAACTCCAGATAAAGTCTGAGAGAAAAATTCTGCTGTCTGCGTTCACACATGCAGCTGGCACCCTGAAAACAGCGAGTTTTTCAGGAGTTTTGTGCGAGTGTGAAAGCCCTACAAACAGCACAGATATCTAAAAACTCTACCTAAGTTCAGTATCTTGTACTCTCTCTCCCCCTCCTCTTCACCAGATTTGATCGATTCTTATTGCAGTAGGCATGTTGTGTTTGGGACTCATCCTCCCCTTAGAAAACTTTCTGTATTCTGACAGGTTTAAGGGTAATTTGTACATTAAGTTTGGTTCAGCGTGGGCGTCTTGTTGTTTAATTTGAGATGAAATAGCTCCTTGACAACAACACAGCTCTCCTCCACATACTCTCCTTCACATGTGGGGCAAGACCCCACCTGACAGCGGGCGTAAAGACCCGCAAATGTGGAAATCAAAAGGCTGTAAACTGTGTAAAATGAGTGGAGCAAGTCGTCTATTTATGTGAGAATCTCCATAAAAACGGATTATGAATTTAATAATGCAGCTGTGAATACTATGTGACAGTTTCTAAACAGAAAGAATTCTTGACAGCTTCTTTTTTTAAAGCCGTCACTACGGGAATTCAAATTCTTTTCTTATCACCTCCGTGCCAGAATATTTACTGAAAGAGCTGTCGGCTATTACTGTTCTTTTTTTTAATCTTCATGAAGGCAACACAAATAGCCGACATAAAAGGAAAATCAAACCGCACAAGGGCGCATTTTCTTATTGCTGAAACGCAGCTATAGAATGACCTTCTTTTAAGAAACGCCGCGAGTGAAGGTATTATTCAATGTGCTAAACATTAAAGTCATTCATTTTAATTAAAAATGAGCATGACAATCACAAATAGCCCCTAAACCAAGGGAACTTAAGACAAATTAGTTCAGCACAGCCCAGAACCTTTTGTTAACTCTGCAACCTGCCAATTATTCAGCTCTGTGTAGACAGCTGCGCTCTCTGATTCGCTCCTATCTGAGAATGTGAGGGCACACGCTCACACTCGCTCCACTTTTGCAGAAGTTCAATTGCACTTTTTCTTTCTTCCAAAGTTGCTCTTTGTTTTTAGAGTATTGTGCATGCTGTTTGTCAAGCACTTGATGGGATACATGTGGATTAAAAAAGATGTTCTGTGACAAATATGGATCAGTGTTTGTTCAGTAGAAGGAAGAACTAATGTTTTATTAACAACTATTTAGTAAACGCAAACTAATGTAATCATCATCTGCATAACATATCCACATAATATGGGCTATAAAATATTGATAAACCATACATTTAACAGACATGACAGCTGAGAAACAATTTCCCTGTTATATCGGCTTGTGTGTGTGTGTTTGTGAGAGAGTAAATTAAAGGCAAATGGACCAGCGCTTTGGACTAAAGTGCAACATAAATATAGTGTATTAACTACTTATCCAAAATTAATCAGTAACATCTTTTCTGGGAACTCTAATTCCATCTTCTCACAAGGCGTGACAAGCAGCATTAACAGGCAGCCGTGGAGAACGTTGCTCAAGAACATTTTGGGAGGGAAGAAGGATATGACTGATGCTGAAGGGCAGCGATACACTTTATCGTCCCCTTGGGAATTTTGTCTTGGACTCAAAGTGCAGCTACTTCCACTCGAATCATTGAATAAAAAACAATAGAAAAACCTCATCCACACATTATCAAAAAGGCACATACCAATACAGAACAACACAACATATATTGCACATTACCCATATTGCACAAGATCAGCAAAAACACAGCATGAGAGATAAAATAACAAAGGTAAGAAAATATAAAAAGCATACAGGACACCATGATGCTGTTGCACAACCCTTTGATTTTTTACTCATTGACAACATGCTTTCATGTCCTTCCCTTCCCTGTTGATGGTTGCATTCACTCATGCTGTTACATTTCTGTTTCCAGCTATCTGCACTATGTGTCCGACCTGGGAAACGGAGCCCACTTGATCAAAGGCAACTCTAACAAGCCGCTGAACGACAACCACTGGCACAACGTCATCATCTCCCGGGACACCAACAACCTCCACACCGTGAAGATTGATACCAAGGTCACCACGCAGACAACCACAGGGGCCAAAAACCTGGACCTGAAGGGTGAGCAGTGCGAAAAAACAGATTTATATATATATTTCAGATTTTTTGGTTTAAGTAGGGCAGCAGTGGCCTGGAGGTGAGAGGAGCAGGTTTTGGGACTGAAAGGTTTGCATCCCGCGGGGGGATGGAGGGGGAAAAAAGGGAAACGCTTGGCCCCACTTCATTACCACCTCCGAGCACTCTTAGCGTCAAACTCAACCCCCCATCTGTTCCGCAGCCAACATGGACGCTCTGCATGTGGAACAGGGAGTTCATAGACGAGACCGTGTATGCTCCACTGACAAAGACCTTTATTTAAAATAATGATTAGCCAAGCTCAAAAAAGAGCTGCCTACCTGAGAGGGCGTTTTTTGTTAATCAGTGATATGTCTTCAAGAGTGTTGAACTCGTTGTCGTCATTAAAATTGGAAATGAATTATGCAATCATCAACTCTGAATTCTGCTGATTATTTAGCCTCATGTAGACACATGCACGTACTGACTCCCTAACATCAACAAACATGAAGGCAAAGCTCACGCCCCCTCCGCTCTGCAGAAGTTCAGTGCAAGTTTCTCATTATTTCAATCAGTGTTGTAGTACTCAAAAATCATTCTTGGTCTCAAGACCACGTTTTGAAGGTCTCGGTCTCGTCTTGGAAGATAAAGACCGATCAAGACAAGACCGGTCAAGACCATCATTAATCCCCTTTTTTCCCCACGTCATTACTGTGATTAGAAGGAAAACGCCCCTTTATAAAAGAAAAGAATGACTTTAAGTTTGTTTTTTACCCCCCCGGTTACGGGGGCAATATTCCCAGTTTAATGGTCTTTATGAGTGACACAAAGCCCTGCCTTGCCTTGGTCTCTACTTGGTCTAAATGCCTAAATGTCTTGGTCTTGTCTCGGTCTCGGAGCCCTCTGGTCTCGGGTATGTCTTGGTCTCTGTTAGTGTGGTCTTGACTTCAACACTATTTTAAATATAGTTCTGCATCCTGCCAACTGACTTAGCTTCTTGTCCCATTATTTATCTGAAATAATTATTAGTCAACAAGATTAAAAAAGATTCCTACATGGAAGTTTATCCCTAAACATGAATGTTGTCACAAATCTAATCACTTATTTCTTTCTTCAACGTATTTTAAAATGTCATTCATCAAATTCTGAAATGCTTTTATGGATTTTGTTGAAGTGTGAGACACTTTGATAGAGGTTTTAAATCATCTTTATATGCTACACCTTTATATACATTTTCAAATGTTTTTTTAAGAAGGCCTGACAGATGTATCCTTTACTTGCTCCTTCCCTTAATTGGCATGGATACAGGTTACGACTCAGATTGATATTTAGATACAGAATCAGTTTCTCTTTACTGACCCACAAGGGGAAATCATTTCTGCAGCAGGAGCAAACTTAATGACACTGCAATAACTGAACTCATACAGGCCTTTAGAAGTAGAAGTAATCAAACGGGCAATGTGGAGATTTTCAAATGTGCAAAAAGTTGTGCAAGAAAGGTAACCTGAGTACTAAGTTGCATAAAGAATTTCAATTGCACCAGGGATAAAGGAGACCTGGAGTCTTTTAGTCTTCTTCCTCCGGGCCCTGAATCTTCAGCCTGAGGGAAAAAGCTCAAACTCAATCCTAAGTGGATCATTCTGGACATGCAGTAAACCCTCCTAATGACCAGTCTGGTCTAAACTCTGGTTTAAAAGCCTTATTATAAAACAACTGTTACTATGAGTTATTAGTCTTTGCTTAAGAACATTCAATGTCTTAATTACAATGCTGATAACATTTTTGTGATATTTTTTTTATTTAAAATAAAGTTTATTTTTTTCCTTTCATGTAATATGCCTCACAAGTCACCACATTTTGTGTCCACTAGGGGTCAGTGTTGTCCCATTTGTCTTTTCCTGCACAGGTAACCTTTACATCGGAGGGGTTGCAAAGGAGATGTTCAAGGAGCTGCCAAAACTGGTGCATGCCAAGGAGGGCTTTCAAGGTTGTCTGGCATCAGTGGATCTGAACGGGCGGCTCCCGGACCTGATGTCAGACGCTCTGGACTGTGTGGGACAGATAGAGAGAGGGTGTGAAGGTGAGTTTCTCTAAGGACACTGGAGGGTTGCTCACACAGTCCGTGGAACAAAATTATTTTTGATTATTAATTTATGCATGCACATTTTTTCAAATAAATTCAAAAAAATCTTCCTCCTAATTCTTTTCTGGTTTCCCTTTAATGTCACAATCATCTCTAAGGGCTCCCTCCACGTTTCTTGTCAGACAACGACACCTGAACAATGCAAAGCTCACCCCGTACTGCCAGCCTTTGTCAAATGATTTAACATCCATAAAGTGTGTTAGTATTCAGTTAGGATGCATCAAGCCCTGACACTCTTCCACAGGCAATCATTTCTGTTTCACTTAGCCATAATCTGATTACTCTCTCTGCCATATTTTCCAGTGTTATTTCCCATTTTATCCCCATTTTGTTTTGCTCTATGCATGCTTGCTTGGATCTGAGAGTTTGCCAGGAGCAATCCTTTTGAATAATGCATGAAGCCTTTTGTTGCATGCATGAATATCATTTGCCCGGTCTAATGTGTGCATCACACCCAGAGAACAATATTTGATTTATTTTTCCAACTTCACTCACTTAGTTTAATTTCTCAATTCATCCACTCTTTTTTTTTTTCTATTGAGTTCTCAACAGCTCATCTCTTCATGTATCAACATGACAAAAGTAATTGAATTCAGCGCCCATGCACGGGTCCGTCAGATCTGTCGTTTTTGGCGCCACACAGTATCAGCGGCCGTGCTCTCGGAGGGGAAATAGCTCCTCTGATGAAACATTCATTGTATTGTGCTAAAGGGAGTCAGGAGGTACAAATAGTCGCTGATGAAATTTGACAGCAGCAGGGTCCGTTTCAGAGAAAATGTGAGCTTTTCCATCACTGTAAGTTTTATTGAACAAAGCAGACAAAGCATATCCACTTCCCCGTAATCATGACTTAACAATTGCATGCTTTTACTTCATGTTGCTGATGGCATTTTGAGAGCAGTTGCAATCACAGTTTAGTTTAACCCAGCCCCCCCCCCATCCCCACTCTACAATACAAACCCTCCCTCTGGCTCCAGACATCCACCTCCATCTCGTCCCTCCTGCTTCAACAGTCTGTGTTTCTGTTACTCCACCTCTGAGCTCTTGGTGCTTTTTTTTTACTAACAGCTGGTATGCTTTGCCTTTTCCTTTCCTATTATTTTGCTGACAAAAGTTGCATTGATGAAAGCTGACTTGCAAGGTAGATAGTTCTGTCTGTTTGATACAGAGTCTGATATCCCTCTTCCTCCTCTGTTTGCATATAAAACACCCCCCCCCCCCACACAGTCTCTCTGCCCCCACACTCCCAAACTCTCCCTGAGCAAGAAGACTGCCGAGTTTGATTTCACCCACCTGACATATGAAATGGACTTCAGTCCCATAGGAATACAAGTATCACTCCCATCTTGTATCAAAGCCTATGGGGCTCTTGACATGCTCTCACACACTGTGTGTCTTTGTTTATTTTACCGTGGTTATATGTATTCTTTCATATGTGTACTTTTGCATGACTAACATTAGATTTTCTAACAACCTTTTTTCCTGCATGAACTTCCGTTAAGACAATTGCAGTACTAACTCAAAGTTGAGTCGATGTTTCTGTATGTTTGAAACGGGTCATCGTCAGTAAAGATCTCATGGCGCTCTATCACAGCAGACCTGGCAGCACGTAGCAGACTTAACTCAGACGAGATGATTTACAGCACACTGAAGATTTATTTTTTTACGTTTTCCAAAGCAAATATTCCTCATTGGACTATTAGGCCACAGCAGGAGATCATTTTTTACCAAAAAACATTAAAGGCATAATATGCATAATATTTTTCACACTTAAATATAATATAAATCAAGTATCTCCTCTGAAAATAACTCTGTGAGTCATGACTGTCTACAATGGGTGTAACACCCGAGTCCCACTGTCTGTGATGTTTTCAGAGTTTTCAGAGTCCTATCTTCACTTTGTTTACATCGCCAGGACGGCCGGCTGACTCCTCCCCTCATGTATAAAAGTTGTTTAATTGAGGGACTAGAGAAAAGAAGAATAACATACTGTACTCACTGCTTAACTGTGTTTCTAGATCACGCTCATTTCAGGTAAATTTACATGCAGTGTGAAGATACCAGCATAATAAAGGTCGCTAGCATTAGCATGCTAACACCGCAAGTTGTTTTGGTTTCATGCTGGTGCTCAAGGGCGACATCTGCTGGATCAAAAAATCGCATATAAAGCCTTAAACTATGTATATTTAGATTAAGATGCACAAAGAGATCTGCAGTATCGCGTCGTCCACAAGGGGCGCCAACATTCACACAAACTGAAAGCTTCTCATAGCGAAACAGAAATGGAAACTGATTGAATCAATATGTGCAATACGTGTGAATTAATCACTTGAAATTCAGATTTCTTATGTTAAGTTTTAGTTTATCATACATTAATAATCATCATTTTATTATTTCAGGTTAATAAATATATAAAGAATAAAATGTCCACTGTGTGCAGGCGCAGCATATTTATTTTATGCATTTTTTTTTTCATCTTTGAGTGGGCAACAGCAAAAGCATAACTATTAAGCAGTTACCATAGTTACTGTGAGTCTGAGCAGCACCTGCTGTGGTTTCACTTCATCAGGAACAAGTAGAGGATGTTTATGATCAGAGTGTAGAGTTTAATGAATCCTACCAGAGTAAATAGATGAACACAATCAAATGACTATAGTATCAAAGGCAGATGTGTGCTGTACGTGAAGTCATGGTGCGACAGCAGAGGGCTCAGTACATGCAGATCTGTTGGAGTCATTACTCAGATTATATATGGTTCATGTGTCATAAATGTAGGTAAAATATTCAGACGTTGTTTGCAGTAAATAACAACTTACCAGAATGGCATAAGATATTAATACCTAACCTCACATTTCACTGACATGTCTCCATAAACTGAACTAACTCAGCTTCACCGCCGCACAGAGCGCCAGGCGATAAAGACAGTGACAGTCGTTCAGTTCAGACACAACGACTGACTACCTGAAGACTAATGACATAAATGTAAGGATGCAGAAGATAAGATAAGATAATCCTTTATTTATCCCACAACGGGGAAATTTACGGGGTTACAGCAGCAAAGAACAAAGATTGCAAACAAAAAGTGAACACAGTAAACAATTTAAATAAAAAAAAATAAAAAATAGATGGATAAGGTTAAGCACATGCCAGAGTATCTAACTTTCTGACTATAAACAGATATGGAGATTATGTACTAATAACATCTAAAAAGCACAGTGTCAACCAAGCAGACAACCTCAGGTCTTAAAAAATGACGCAATGTGGAAAAAGCCTGCAGTTCGTCAAGTGTCCACTTGAGGCTGGCTCCAGGAACACAGGAAGTCACATACAAACCAAAAAAAATCATTTTTTACTCTATAAATCAACATGATTACAGCCTGGATTTTAAAAACGATAGGTGTGATGTAACGGCTCGTCAAGAGGTTTAAAACACGCCTCAGCTCCAGCTCTCAGCCTGTCGTTAGGTTGACTGAAAGTTAGACTGAGACAGCATTTCCAACATGGCGGCTGCTGCAGATGAGCCTCCCTGCAGGAACAGATGGCTGACGTCACTCAGGCTTCATCGGTTAATATTTACAGTCTATATGGGGGTCAACTCAGGCCCCTGAGATCCCAACTCAGGCCCCTGAGATCCCAACACAGGCCCCTGAGATCCCAACACAGTGCGTAACACAGGAGCGTAAGATATGCTGCGATCTGACAGCTCAAACATTCCTCACTGGTGGTCAGGGAGGCGTGAAAGTGTGGAGAGAGGGTGAACACAATCACCTCTCATGTTTAGATTCAAGCTAAGTGTAGGGAACAAAAGGCGTAAAATGTGATACTCTGGATGGACTCATTGTCCAATAGAAATCATAGAAATCACTGCCAACAGCTAAATCCAGGCACTAAACTTGAATAAACGTATTTAAATATGTCCAATGTTTATTGATGCTGTTTTTTGTGTTAGGCCGTTGTTGTGTCTGTTTACTGAATACAATTCAATTCATTGGGAGTTCAGGCAGGCAGTCGGCTACAATCTGGCAATTTGTCGCAGGATTTTGTAGGACGAATACTAAAATGTGACTGAATACACAGTTGTTAGTGTTTTGCATAGCATATGTATGTTTGTTCTGTGGGAGCTCCCGTTTGCAGAAGCCCTATTGTCTGTATGTTGTGCGTGACATTTCAATTTCTCTGCAGAGTCAATCTGCACACTGCGCCGCTCGTTGTTAGAAAAGTCTGCTCACCAAGTTGCACGTTTATCTCCGCATTCAAGGCCCCAGCACGACGTGCCAGGAGGACTCGTGTGCCAACCAGGGCGTGTGTCTCCAGCAGTGGGAGGGCTTCAGCTGTGACTGCAGCATGACGACGTTCGGAGGGCCGCTCTGCAATGACGGTAGGACTCAGCATTCTGCTTCTTCCTCCTGCAATGTGGATGTTTTTTGTGGGGTTTTCTCTGGTATAATGAGACAGTCAACATACATTTACAGGGTTTTTCCTGGCTCAGAGTGGGCCTTTGGGGGGTGACAATACGCGCTGTAGTAAACATTCGACCTGTGTATTACAGTATAGTCTACGACTCTGTATTACCTTATTTGACAGAAATCTGTGCATTTCATCGTTTGATGTATTGATGTTTTTAACATACATTCAGAGAGGATTTGATTTGCAATTTGAATCGTCTTTTTTTTCTCTTGATTTTCCTTTGGCGCTGAGTAAAACCTCTATGGGGGGTGCCAAAGAGTTCTCTATGCAGGAAAAACCCTGTTTAGGTAACTTGGGTTTGGACCTCTATTTTAATCATCCATCTATACCACATTTCCCGATTGGGGTTGCTTGGGCTGAAGCCGATCCCAGCTGTCATTGGGCGAGAGGCGGGGTTACACCCTGGTACTGTTCACCAGCCAATCACAGGGCTGACATATAGAGACAGGAAACCAGTCACACTCACATTCACACCTACGACCAATTTTAAGTCACCAGTTAACCTAACGAGCATGTCTTTGGACTGTGGGAGGAAGCTGGAGAGAACACACACATGCACATGGAGAACAGGCACAGAAAGTGTCCCACGGGGAACCAGGAACCTCCTTGCTGTGAGGCAACATGGCTAACCCCTTTAGCACCAAGAAGCCCTATATCAAAGTGTCCTGATCATACAGGAAGGTCAAGTTTAACAAGTCCTTTGCACCCATCTTAGCTCATTTCTTAGGTTTTCAATAACCAATAATACATTCCTCCACCAGAGACAAACACGCTGTCATTTCAGTACCTGAATGTTGCCAACGCTGTTTACCATTTAGACACTGTGAGGGTGTTTACATGGACTATTCTCAAACTCACCTTTCTCAGAATATATGTGATTTTAGTGGATCATGTCGATCATTAGTGACCTTCTAAAATGCATGGTGCAACATTTTGATGATGGTGATTCACAGATGATGTCACTTGTTTTTGATGGAGTCAAAATGCTCCAGCAACACTTGTAGTAAGAAGATCAACTTTATTAACAATTTAGACCAACGGTCTTGTCAGTTGGTGAAGTTTGTGCCAGAAAATCCTCTTTTTCTCCACTTGTTTTTGATGTGTTGTGTGTGTAATGGAGGTGTGGTTAGAGCAGATCGTGGGGTCGGCTGACGCTGTGGTGGAGGCCTCCTGATGTCATCTCTTTTCATGGGGCTCAGGAATCCTGGCAATGGCCCCTGCTTGCATGTTTCTCGCAGCATTAAATGCAAAAAAAACTTGTTCCATCTGTTGAGCTTATTAATTGCGTCCAGAAAAAAAATCTTGGCGCCGGTCGTTTTAAGGTGGGTGTTATCATCAACAGCAGGGCCATTTTTAGCCTGTTGCTTTCACATGCGATTGTATCCCAGCTCATTAGTGTTTCCTATGTCTGAGTGTCTTATTTGTGTCCTCAAAAATCAGAACTTTTGCCTGAAATATGACGTATTTGCTTTGTAAACTCAGCAACAACAACAACAGCAGCAGCTATGTAACCGATGACTACTGCGTTGTAACTCGGTCAACTCGGGTGAATCTTGACACTGCTTTTCTTATTTTCTCACTACGCTTGTGTTGCTGTGAATACTTATTTTCTTCACTGACAGAGTGGAGAGCTTGCTTGCGCCTCTGAAGGGGCATAGACTTTTAAGTATGAGACATCTGGCTGACAGTTCAGTGAAAGCTCATTAAAATTTGACAGATGTGCCACTAGAGGGGGCAACTAAACATTGTGTTCTGCTAAATAAAAGATCATCAACGGGTCAATCACACAGAAGAAGAAATTAAGCGGTAATGCACGTCTTATTTGTTGCACTTTCACCAGAATGTTTCCCCCCGTTAAGCACCGCACTGACCAACACCAATTACAAGCTCATACATCCCCTTTAAAAAATGAAAACTAACTTTGAGCAACAAGAGGCCATTTAAAAGTTCTGTGATATTAATCTCTCTTAAAGACAGTTAAATTGGATTTTTTTTTTGTTTTAAGGGACCGAGTCCTCATTAATGTTAAAACTTCTGAGAGAAGTAGGGTAATGTCTGCCCTACCTTTTTAAAAAAATGGGCTACTTTCGTATGCAAAACATGCACCGGGGGGTTTTTTTGTTTGGTCATTATTTTCTTCTGCAGCGCTTCACACAGTAAGGGGGTGAATGGACAAAGTGCTGAACTGCATTAAGGAGAGAGAGAGAAAAAAAAGAGAGCGGGCTCCTCAGATGGCACACAAAAAGCAGAGGAGAGAACAGCATAAATGTTAATGCATTCTGTGTCACTTCTACCAGCGTGATAAGACCCCCCCCCCCCCCCCAACTTTTTTGTTATCACCAGAACAGTATTAATAGATTCCTGTGAACATATCTGCAGCCTATGATAACACTGAAAGGATTCTTTCTGTCCGTGAGACGCAGGCTGGAGCCCTCCTCTCCTGTGCACGTTTTTTACTCTCCCCTTTCATTTCTCAAGAAAGTGTTTGGATCAACAGAGGAGAAGAGGGCTTTGCTGGAGGTGTTGGGGGGGGATATGTTTTGATTGCGAACTCCTCGTGAACCTTTCCTCATGCGTTAACAGGAGAAGAATCGCAGGAGTTTTTTTTTTCCCCTCCTCCTTTCTTCCTATATCATACATATTCATCTTGAGCAGGCCCACAGAGCTCATTTAGAGCACTGGGAGCACAGTGGCTCATAAGGCATGTATGCATGTATTATATCTAAGCAGAAGTGCTCTACCTGCTGATTCCGGTTGCTGTGTTGCTATTCTTGTTATTCCTGCTGACCTGACAGAACAATAGGAAGGATCAATGTTGCAGGCCCCAAGGGATGCAAGAAATGTTTCCACAAAAAAAATCTAGTTTCTAAGAAATCTCTTTCTTTCACCATGGATGAATTGAAAGAGTCCTAAGAATGGTGACGCAAGACATCCTCGGTCTGCAGAGGGAAATCTGTGAGGAGGAAGAATGAAGCTGGAGATGGTCGGGTTTTATGTGTGTTGATGGATTGTCATGGGAATAGAGGAGGAGGAGGGGGAGGATGAGGAGGAGGAGGAGGAGGAGGAGGAGGAGGGGAGCGGCAAAAGAAAACGAGAGAAACATCTCTGAGGAGAATTTCACTTTCTACTGGATGTATTTGCACAAGATGAAATGTAGGCATTTTACAACAGAGCAATCGGGTCTCCAAGAACGCATCTTGCAACGGGGAGCTTGCTGCGTTTTCCCCCGATTCTTCTTGTGGGAAGTCACCGGCACCCTGCCTTCTCGCTTGGAGAAACCCCCCCCCCCCCCCCCCCGGCCCCCATAACATTTACAGCTGTCAGTCAACAAATCACAAGGGAAATAATTTCATATGTGGTACGATACCATTTGAGTATTCAGCTGTCTCTCAACTCAGTGTTACACATTTCATAGTAAAAAAAAAGAATAAATCATCAGCTCGAACAGTTACACACAGGACGTTTGGATCCAATAAGTGTGTCACACAGGCACGGGATGAAACACATGCACTTCTGTGAATGTCTAGAAGACTTCAGGACAGACTGCCTTGCCTTTATTGTAGAGAGAGTGGAATAGAGCGGGGAATTAGGAAGAGAGAGAGAGAGAGAGAGAGAGAGAGAGAGAGAGAGAGAGAGAGAGTGTGGGGAATGACATCCAGGAAAGGAGCCACAGGTCGGACTCAAACCCTTGCCGCCCTTCTAGGACGACTTCAGACCTCCCTACATGGGGAATGTGCAGTAACCACTATGCCACTGGCCGCCCTCCCTCACTTAATCTTTATTTAAATTTCAGAACACAATCAAAGCAAACATTTATGAACAAAGTTATTTACAAAATGCATAATGTAGTTTTTCATTTTCAGGTTGCACTGATACTAGTTTAATTATGGAGCCTCTCGTTAGCTCCTCTTATGAACAACAACAAAGCATTTCACATTAAAGATCAAATAAACTGAAAAGAAGTTGAATTTACTCTGGCAATAATCTGCTTAAATATAAAAGACTTCAAGGAAATGTTCTGTTTTTAACAAGCATGGTGCTTTTGCAGAACCATGCCGATGACATCACCACACACACACACACACACACACACACACACACACGCACACACGCACACACGCTGTCTGTGTTCAGCCTTTTTTTAATCGTCCTGGCACCAAAAACAGCTCCTAGTGATGAGACCCAATTCATGTTTAACACCATTCACAACCATCATAATTCATTTACCACGCATGGTGAGGAATTTGATTCAACGTGGCCAGCATGGCTTGTATCTTTTTTTGTCTTCTTCTTCCTCATGTCCCCGTCTGTTGGTATCCAGTGGAAGTAATTGGCTCTTTAAATACAACTGGAACTCATGGTGTCCACAGTTCGTTAAAATAAATTGCAGCACTGGCACATCACATGGTGAGAAGTGTTGGAGAGACGATGATGAAGAGAAAAGTCTGAAGACCATTATGTCATCATCTCGCCGCTCATTCTGCAGTGAGTGGTGCAGAGCTGTTCAGCTGTAGTTGACAAATTCAGAACATGCTTGCAGAACAGACAAGAGATGTTGGATTTCTCTAAAACCCTGTGCAGTGTGTTGGGACATGCATACTGTACATACATATGTATGAACTGTTGAAGGAATGCTTGCACTGAAAAACTGCCCAAAGATATAAGACATGAAGATGCTCACACATAGGAAAACCAACTTTCTGATTGGTAACTAAATGCATGCTGTCCTTTTCTAAACTGATCTAAAGAGGATGAAGCTAAGACATAATAAGACAAAGATACACTCCTCTGAATCTGGACATTAAATGGTCCCACAGGGAGAAATGTGTTTTGCATCAGGAGCACATGGAAGGCAAGAGCTCAGACCGAGATGGGAATTCCTACCAAGTCATTTAAATGTGCAAATGTGCA